TCAGATATACAAGCCCTAAAGGAGAAATGGAGACAATATCAAAGACCAGAAATCTCAGGCCATTGATTGGCCATTGAAGGAACGACTCAGAGCATTGCAGAGTTCAACCAGAACTTCTTCAGAACTTCAACTTTCTGACTGGTAAGTGAAAACATTGATTTTCACAAGACTAATAGGAGTAAAAACAAAAACAAAAACAAAGCAGACTTTTATGGGATATATTAGAGTGCTTGTGTGATTCTGAAAAATGCATTATATATATTTTGGGAAAAGGCTAGGGAAAGTATGATGTAGGTACACTGAGGACAACTGAGAGGAAGTGGGACGATGGGGACCAACTGCATGAAAACAAGTGGCTGGTCAGCAGCCATCTTGCCAAGTTTTCTGCTCAATCACTTCAGCCTCTCTTATTAAGCTCTTTATTAAGTTCTTTATTTGTGTGTGGCTAGCAAATTTCAAGCCAGGGAAGCTTATGATGAGGATAGGGGACACGGTGAGTGGAGACAGCTTAGGTCTGAGGCCAAGTACTGCACAGACTCCACGTCTGACAGGTAAGTTACCGGGGAGAATGTGAATTTGCAGAGACCGTTTTGGATGGTGGGATAAGGTGGGACTGTGGTCAACAGTGTGTGTGTCTGTTCCATGACAGCAGCATTGAAACAACAAAGAATTTATGTAAAAATAAAATACAAAACTTTATTATTTGAAAAATCCCATTTTACTATTACAAATATAATTGTCTATGCGAGCTTCCCATCAAGTATAGAAAAAACAAATCAGCACTCCAGTCTTACAGGGGGGATACAGAGAATAGTATTTTCTTCTTGAAGTGAATTTCTCAGGGAAAAACAAACAAACCAATCCCATTTCCTTAAGACTAAACGATATAGGGACAGACTTTTTAGCAGTGTCTTCTGTGATAGGACAAGGGGAAATGGTCTCAAAATGAAAGAGAGAAAATTTAGCCTGGATATAAGGAAGATGTTTTTTTTTTTACAAAAGAGGTGGTGAGGTGCTGGAACAGCTTTCCCAGAGGTGGTGGACACTCTGTCCCTGGAGACGCTCAGGGTCAGGATGGAAGGCTCTGAGCACCTGATGGAGCTGTAGGTGTTCCTGTTCATTGCAGGGCAGTTGGACGAGATGGCTGAGATTCAACTCAAACGATTCCATGATTCTGTAAATCTACTCCAGAATAGGCTTTCTGGTCGAGACTGCCTGTTTCTACAGTCTGCACGGTTTGCACGTAAAGTCTGTAGTGAACCTGCGCTTTGCCAGGACAGGAAAAAAAAAATAATAATAATTATGAAATCGAACTTAAAGCTCACCGATAAGAACAGGCCAAGTGGTCTTGGGTGGCAGTACCCCTTTTCCCTCAGTCCTCAGAAACCAAACCAGCTCCACTGGTGCTCAGTCCGGACAACCAGCACGATTCTCAGACCCCCCCAGAAGCCCAACACCCCACAGTTCCCACACCGGCAGCCCCGATCACCCCAACCGGACCCACAATCGCAGAGACGGAAAGAGGCGGATGCCGAGCACGCCCAATGCCCGCTGCGTGGTGTGGCCCCCGAGAGTGGGCGGAGGGCGGAGCGCGGGGGTGCGGAGCTCCGCCGCCGGCCCTCCTGTGGCAGTCCCAGCCAAGCGCCGATTTCCGAGATCTCGAATCTCCTCCTGCCGACCCAACGAAGGCGGCCGAGAGCCGGTGGAATGGATGGGATTGGGGGGCGGAGCGAGGGGCGGAGCGAGGGGCGGAGCGAGGGGCGGGCTCCAGACTTCCGGTGCGTCGGCGGATGTTGGGGTTTGAATTGTCTGTCAGTTAACGCAGGCGGTTGCGGCGTGAGGCCGCTGTTGCCGGACCTCGCTGTTGGCCGCGCCGCCCTCGGGGTGAGTAACATGTTTGGCGGGCTGAGGCTTTCGCCTCGCTACCGCCGGTCTCCCGATGCTGCCGGGGGTATAGAGACGAGGCGAGAGCAGAACGGGGCGTTAGGGCGATTTAAAGCGCGCCGCCTGTAGAGCCTCTGCTTTCCCGCGAGCGAAGCGCAGAGGCGCGGTGTCGTCCCTCTGCCTCGGGCGGCCGCCGCCTGAGTACGAGGAGCGGGCAGCCCGCGGGAACTGCCGTGCTGCTGCTGCCAGGACCCGCGGTGCGGCCTCAGCTGTCTGAGGCCTGGAGGGAGGCGAGTCGGGCCGGGCTGAGTTCCCGTGAGGCGCAGAGAATTACTTTTCCTCGACGTGCGGTGGGTCTGTGCTGTGGTACGAACCGCGAGTTGATGCGGGGCTCTGTCGTGTATAAATACGGAGGGCACGGGACGAGGGTAGCTGGGAAGGTTCCGTGCGGCTTTGTTCGTACTCCGTACTAATTGGGTACCTGAAATCCACTCTCACGGAGCAGTGCCTGTTTGTTTCCCTCTTTGTCATTAATTTAAATTAAAAAAAAAAAAAAAAAAAAAAAGTTAAGAACACTTGGCATTCTGGAAAACCATTAAGTTCTGGAACTTAACTGCTGTCATTCAGGGGCTTTTTTAGTCCGCTTTGGCAGAATAAATGTTGTATTTACATTTCCATTCTTGTAAACGGTGGGTGATAATTTGCTCCTGTCCTGCCGATAGACTAATACGAGATTGCTTTGATCCTGGGGAACTCACGCGTGAGCTCTATTTGTGGAGCTCTGGTGTTCGACTTTGCATCTCCTTTGACTTGCAGCCAGAATTTCGGGATTCAGCTCCCTGAGGGAGTGCGAGGAATGAGGGGAGGAATAAGGACTTTGTTGGTTGATTTTGCTGGAACCGGCACAAAGGGGAGGAGGAAGGAGCTTTGCTTGTTTCCAGCCAAACGTGCTTTCTCCGCTTGGTGTGGCTCTGTGCAATACAAAAGGTGTAAAACCGGTCTTGTGTGGTTTTATGTGAAGGGTTTGTTTACGGTGTTATCCTGTGGTAGGTTCGGAATTGTGAGAACTGGCAGTAAGCTAAGAACAGGGCAAATGTGTAAGCTGTGTTTTCTGCTCCCTCTGTACCTATTTCGGTATCTTTATTTTTTTCATAATTTGGAAAAGGGGATGTTGTTTGTTTTTTTTTTTTCCTGGGGAAAGGTGAAACCATATGTTCACGTGGCTGTTGGCACTTACCATAGCCTGTGTTGATCACATCAATGTTTATTTTCATTTTAGACCATTCTTTGGCAAACATCTCCTGTGGAAGTATTTTGTTTGTCTTTAATGGCAGTGGCATAGAACAGAAGTCAGACCCAAGACTTCTGCCGTCCATTTTTTTTCTTTTTCCTTGATGCCATGCCTTACCTGCAACTTCAACCACGTGGCTGCAGTACTGTATTTGCAAAAGTTTGTACAAGTACCGTTTAAACAAAACTGTAAATAACAAAGCTCTGATAGCTCAGTTTGTCAGACTTCCAATTTGCAGATGGAATTTATCATCTGCCTCCTTGCTCCCTTGGCACGTATTCAGGAGGTTGTGCACCCTCCTGTGAGGTCAAATGTGGACCTGGGGACAGCTGTCCTGCCTTGCTTGCCCTGCAAATCTCACACAAAGCATTCCGCAGTTCCTGAGAAAAGGCAAGCTGTTTACAGCTGAGTACCTGAAAGGCTTTGACTTTGCACTAGAGGAAGAGCAATGTTCTTAGGGCTGCCATGAAGAAACATGTTACCTTTACTTTCTTCATGAGCTGTTCCATGTAGTCCAGGAAGTGTGGAATGTGGGGTAGGCTAGGCCAAGTCCCTACCTACCTGTGTTAATGTTTCCTGGAGATCTGTTTTTTAAGAGTATGTTTTGGAAGAAACGCAGCTTAAGTCAGGTCAGTGTTTCCAAATGGATTACTCTACTTCAAAATGTAAAATATGTAGTTCTGGCCTGTGCTGATTCCCCTGTGTGCCTGTCTGTTTCTGATTTCTCGCATTTCTCTTTTTCTAGTCTTTAATCAGGATTTCTTTGAATAAGATCCTGGGAACAGTGGAAAACTACCTCCTCAGTCGCAGTCACCATCTTTCCCAGTATTCTTCTCCTAAATTACTCGTGCTAATACTATCTCTATTTGAGCAGGAGTCACTGCCACTGCTTTAGTTCTCCTTGGATCATTACTTCATTATTGTTGATGTTGAAAATAACTATGAATGTACATTTATGTATATGTATAAAATTCCAATTCAGCAGCTGCTTATTTTCAAAATAAAATATGTTTCTGGTGTTTTGAGAAAATAACCAAAATATGTTCGTTGGTATGGGTGTATTTATTCTGCATCCTTCTTTTTGAACCCCCATCTCTCACAATAACAGCTGAATTCTAATACTGGTTCTTTTGTTCTTGTTTTCATTTTAAAAACTTTACTGAGCTTTGGGATTTTTTTGAATTTGGAATGAACTATAACAGTAGTACATCATGTTAATTCTTAATGCATTAGATGTGTATTTAACTCTTCATTTCTTTTTCATGATAAACAGCTTGAAGAACTCACTAGAATGAGTGAGAATAATTTTGACATTCAAAGCCCGCGTAAGTAAGGCTTTAATCAAATAGTTATGTAAATCTTTAGTCTTCGTATAATATATCAATTATAAATCACTTTATTTTGACTGCTCCTGATGTTAGTATATTGAAAATCTATTTTATATATCTGTTAAGAGTTGAAGGGAAGATATTCCCTGCCTATGCATGCTTGAGTATGCTGATGGGCTTGGAACTTCAGAAATGGGGAAATTCTCAAGGCTTTAGTTGACATTGATGTCTGCAGTTTTTAAATGTTTTGAAACTAATATGTTTTTAAAATATTGCTTGTAACTTGACAGTCTGCATACTGCTAACTCTCTTCATGAAGACTGTCACATAGAAATACAAAGAAGTCTTCATGAATTCTAATATGGTGACGTCTTTGTGTATTATACTTGAAAAAAATTAGAGGTCATATATTTCACAGATTTGCACATTGTTTGCTGCTTAATAATTTTCTGCAGGCTTTATGGAAGAACTTTTTGGTTGTGAGCAAAATCTTCTGAGTTTGCATTGGTGATAGCCCTGTCCCAAATCAGCAGGCAGTTGGAACCAGTGGAGTATTTTCATACTAGGAAGTAAGGAAGGAATAAATAGTAGACTTACTTCTTTGTTTACTGTGGAATTCAGTATTTCTTTGAGACGAGGATATTAATTTGTAGTTGTTACTGAACGACTTGAGACAAATAAACATGTTTGTATTTAAATATAAAAATCAAACTTAATGAGTGATGCAGCGGACGGATCCCTGCCGCTGTAAACAGTCCTACAAGGAGCCTGCAAAGATGCCTTTTCTCTCTATACACTTGCTTCAGCATCAGATGCCTTAGCTGAGTATTCACCCCCATAATGCAAAGGCTACCAGACAGTGCCCTGAGTGTTCTTACCTTCTCACCAAGGGAAGCTTCTTTAGCACAGAGTTATTCTGTCTCTGGTATTTTTGCTTCTAGCCGGTTTAACCCTTCGTGGAGTCAGGCCTTCCTTGTCTCTCTGACCATCCTTTGATCACAAATTGCCATTTCTGAGTTCCCCTTCAGTATCTACTGTCCTTTATCCTGTAAGCTGCTTGAGGATGCATGTGATTAAAAGTGGTGAGTTACTGCTTTATAACTGATTGATGTCGATTCCAGGACTCACTGATCCTAAACATGATTCTGTGTTTTAGCTTGTGTTCTCTGTGGACGGACAGATAACTGCCCTGAAAAGTATGGAGAAAAAAGGACCTATGTAGAATATAATCTCACTGTTCATAATTACTGTTTGGTAAGTATGTAGTGGTAGTATTATTATGTTAGCTGAAGAATAGTAAGTACAACAAGTATTAAATAGCTGTAACTTGTCTAAATGGTTTGTTGTAAAACTTGAACTGAAGGCATTGTAGCCTTGAAGGCTTGTACTTGTTAAGTGCTACATTTCATTTAATTACTTAGTTCATTCTCCAACCTGTCATAACAAAGAAGGTACATTTAAGAGAGAGAGAACAGATTGCACCTACATATTCACTTCTGTAAAAATAAACATAGTGTCAAAATGTGCAAATTTCACCCTTTGTGGAATAAGTGGGGTAAAGTTTTCATCTTTATTCATGTTTATCGCTAGTTTGCGGTTGGGTGTGAGCTTATCTCTTGACTGTAGATAGGATGATGCTGTCACTTAGAGTCCTTCTTTTCAGTTTGGTAAGATGAAGCCTACTCATTATTCGCAGCTATAGTATCCAAAAGTTTGAGTTGCACAAAGTTATGGATATAAACGACAAATATTTACCACATTTATCATTTTCCAAGATTCAAGTTCTATTTATGCTACCTTTCAAACTCTAAACTTCAAGTTTTTTAGATGATTAGTAGTTTGGATGTTAAATCCTTAAAAGATAAGGCAGAGTGGAAGTTTTCTGAAGTTATGTAAAGACAATTTTTCTTCAATCAGTTTTAATCAGTTGGAAAGAAGTTTAGGTCTGTTTGTGATAACCTTGTGTCACATACAGCCCAATGAAAAGGCAGAAGAAGCATCCTCTCCTGATGGAGCAGAACAGCTAGGAAAGTGCGTGCTTGCAGCACTAAGTATTATGAAGGTGTTATAGCATCAAATGACTGATTTGTAAGTTATTTTTTTATAAGGAGCTTCTTGTAGTTACCTTGTAGATTTTCATTCCGACAACTTAGTAAAATCATGTTTGTTTTCCTTAAAAAAAAAAAAAAGTTTATTATGAGTACTATAAGGAATGAGTTTTAGAAAGAGGTCAATTAGTGGTATATATTAATTTTTCATTGCCAAGTGTCTCAGGTTTGGAAATACATCCTTAATTGTTTTTGCTATGAAACTTAACATTTATTAGACTAAAAATATTGATTAAAAATGTGTAGTTAGAAAATGAAACTATAGAGAGAGAGATTTTTTTCTTCTGTGGAAACTATAACTTGATATGATGCCTCCTTTATTTTTTCCAGTCTCAAGTTATGAAACCATCTACTTATTTGAAGTCTGCAGTGTAACTGCCTTATGAGATAACTATTTACTCTAAATTATCGTCAAACTGTCCTAACTTGCCATAATACCAGATTCTCTTCTTATTTATTTCTCCTTTAAAGTGTATGACTTCTCCTTTGAGGTTGCACTTCAGCACAGATACTTCCTACTGTGCTAATTATCTTCCCAACAAAATTGTCATTCACAGTAACTGAATTAATTTGATTTTATTTCTTCTGAAACCTTGTTTAATGAAAGTAACTGTTTGACAGTTATCTGAGTAGATCCTGTATTTTGAGTGGAAAATAAGACTCCATCTTGGGCTTTACTGGCTACTGAAATCTGTTGTTTCAGATCAGATGAGTACCTTCTAAAGCATAGATGCTTTGAATTATTTTTATAATCATGTATATATATAGCTGGGATTAGGTTACTTGTCTTTGTGCTATATCATCAGCATCAGGTGCTTGGAAATGTGAGTTGGTCATGGCAGACCAATAGCAGTGAATTGGGAGACAGAAAGAAGCCATTCTACTCTGTCAAATATTTACGTGCGAGCTTTGTTTGACTAAATTTGTCTCTTCTGCTTGACAATACAGTGTAGATAATTTCAAGTCTTTAGATAGATGAATGGTTTTAATAATTAATCTGTTTTTGTAGTTGATGTCAAGTGGCATTTGGCAGAGGGGGGAAGAAGATGAAGGTATAGATGGATTTTTGATCGAAGATATTAGGAAAGAAGTTAACAGAGCTGCAAGACTGGTAAGAATGATCTCTTTACAAGGAGAGAAAGAGTAACTTTTCATTAAGCATACATGTGGTGTCATCTGCGGGGTTTATTTTTTGTCAACGGCCAATGCGCTGAACCCATTCAAGCATCTGAATTTTACACGTCAGTAACAAGGGTATTGGGTTCCTGGGAGCTGAAGAGATGAGACATCCTGTAGAATTGCTAATGTTTTTATTTCTTGTGTGTGTTGTAGGTGAACTAAAAAGAGCAATGCACATGCACATAATCCTTTAGGAGTCTCAAACTGATCTGTAATTCTATAGATGCAGCTAAATTAACTACCAATAGAATAATTTGCATTTCAGCTTGCAGGTTACAATCAACATACATGCAAAACAAAACCTAATCAAATTATATGAAATAAGTGTCTTCTCTTTGAAATATGCATAGAACACAGGAAAATAACTATGCTTCAGATATTTAATGTTTTTCTTTCTAAAACATATTCTTCCCAGGTGTGTAATATCTGCAGGAAAAAGGGTGCTTCAATTGGATGTGTGGCTCCCAAATGTAAGCGAAGTTACCATTTTCCTTGTGGGTTACAAAAGGAATGTGTTTTTCAGTTCATGGAAGACTTCAGGTAAGTTTGGGGATTTTGTGTTGGCTTACGGTTTTTTTTGTTGTTCTCAGTTCTATTTAGATAGCAGTTCATTTGTTTCTTTCATTTGTGACCTTTGAGGAGGCTGTAAGAACTATAAATTGTTAATTAAAAAATCTTAATTTGTGGAAAACACGAAAAGCAAGCAAGTACATTGCATTAACAGTACATATAAGGTAAATTTTCAGCACTCTAAAAGAAGTAAAATGATTGGGGTATGGTTTTGGGGGTTTTTTGTATGTCTGCCTCCTGTGTGTGAAAATAGCTTTTTCCTCTAATTCCTTCCCTTGGTTTGTCCTACTTGTTTGATAAAAGCCATTCCATTGTGTTTCCGAATGGAAGTTCTAGGTCTGCTTGTTACTGATTGATTGGGAAGAAATGAATTTTGTGTCAAATGTCTAAGTTAGGTTGTATGTTCTTTTACTATCATCTTTGCAACAGCTTGTCTGTAGTCAAACTAGTCTTAAGTGTGTTTGATTATGTTTTCATGCTGCCTATTGAAAACAGAGTTAGCAGGAGGATGGCAATCTGGGAGGCATTTAACTTTTAAATGAATATCTCAAACTTTACCATGAAGTCAAGCACATGTAAAAATAATGCATTTTCAGAAAGATTTATTCTAGAGCTGTGTATCTTCTCTATTTTCTTACTTTGAGCATGAGCTAAGTTATAGAATTTATCACCCTAACTAGAAATTGTAGAGCCATTCTATGAAATCAAAATGGATCCTTTAATGTCATGACAGTATGGAAACATGGGGGGGAAAAAAGGAGGTTCTGATCAAAGAATGGTTTGGGTTGGAAGAGACCTTAAAGTGTCATACCTCTTTCTGACACAGCGTGGGATGCAGTAGGCCTTCCTGGGCTGAGCATCTTCCCAGGCTGAACATCTCTGATTCCACTGCTTGTACATGTCCCTCAGTTTAACCAGCAGGTCCTCGTTCAGCCATGCCAGTTTCCTATCTTCTCTGCTTGATTTCTTATGCTGGTAGACAGGAAGAGAGCTGTTGTGCTTTCAGAAAGGTGTCTCTAGCTACTAGCTCTGCTCTGCTCTTTTATCTCTAAAATAAGCCTCCCAGGGACCTCATTCAGTAATTCCTTTAACTGCCGAAAGTTTGCTCTTCCGAAGTTCAGGGTCCTGATTCTGCTCTTTGCCAGGCCCAAATTCCTCTAGATCACAAATTCAACCAGGGCATGGTCACTATGTCCCAGACTGCCTCCAATCTTAACCTCTTTAATGAGCCCCTCTGTGCTGGCCAGTACAAGGTCCAGTAGCATCTCACTGCAGATTGGTCTGTCCAGTAGCTTTCTGTTCTGGGAATTTATCCTCAGCAGACTCCAGGAGTCTTCTGGATTGCTTGCAGCCTACCCTGTTGCCTTCCCAGCAGACATCTGAGTGGTAGAAATCTCTCATCAGAATGAGATCATGTGAGTGAGATGCTTCTTGAAGCTGATGCAAGAAAGCCTCATCAACTGGCTCTCTTTGATCAGGTAGCCCATAGTATTCCTTGCCCATCAGATGATTTTTATTGTTGTGGTCCAATAACTTAACCCATAAGTTTTCAATCTGATTGTGGCTATTTTTTAGAGGCACCTCTTCACAATCTGTCCATTTCTTAACGTAGGGGGCAACTCCTCTGCCCTTTTTGCCTTGCCTGTCTCTTCTGAAAAGCTTGTGGTCCTCAGTTATTGTGCACCAGTTGTGCAATTTTTGTCCCACTGTGTTTTTGTTGTAGTAAATAGGTCATAGTTTTCTAACTGCACCTTGGTTTCCAATTTCTTCTGCTTATTTCCTGTGCTGCATACATTGATGTTAGACAGGACCAATAATATTTGGACCAAAAGAAATACTGACAGACAAGAATATGTCATCCTCACAATATAGCAGGTATAAGTTGGCAATGTCCCTCTTCCACTGTATTGTATTGCCTTGATGCCTTAAACAATTTATCTTTGCCTTTCATCTTGCCTAATAGTGTATTTATCTATGAATAACAGGTGTGATTGAACAAAATGAACAGCAAGTTCATTTTTATGAAGAAAGCTCTTGAAATATATTTTTGGTGAGGGAACCTTGTGTTATCATTTGTAGATCTTACTGTTGGGAACATAAACCAGTTCAAATCTTTTCGGATAAAGAATCGAGAGAACCTTCACAGTGTACAATATGCCTGGATTTGGTTGAACATCTTCCACTGTACAGTGTGTTGAGAAGTCCTTGTTGTAAAAATACTTGGTTTCATCGAGAATGCTTGCAGGTAATACAGGTTCTTATGTTATTTTTCCCTTCCATCCGTGGAAATCACAGTCTGATTTTTAAAAATAATCAAACAGCTGCTTAAAATCACATAAAATTATTTGGGGATAGTGTGCAGGCACGTGCTGCTGGCTCACGTCTAGCTTTTTGTCCAGCAGGACCCAACTCCAAGTCCTTATGTGCAGGGCTGCTCTCAAGGAATTTTCTAGTAGTCTGTAATACATATCAGGTCGGGGCAATCCTGGATACTTTGCACTTGTCCCTGTTGAACCTCATAAGGTTTTTGTGGGCCCACTTTAAAACCCTGTCCAAGTTCCCCTGGATGGTGTCCCTTCTGTTCTATCAACTGCACCACTCAGTTTACTGTCATCAGCAAGCCTACTGAGCGGGCACTCAACCCTCTGCCTAGGTCATTGATAAACATGTTGAAGAGGACAGGTTCCAACGCAGACCCCTGGGAGGCGCTACTCATTGCTGATTTCCGCCTGCACACAGAGCTGTTGGCCACCACTCTCTGGCTGTGACCGTGCTGCCAATTTTAATTTTTTTAATCCATTGAATAGTCATCCCTTCAAATTCATCCCTCTCTGATTTAGAGATGAGGTGTAGAGCTATGTCAAAGGCTTTGCATAAGGCCAGGTATAGGACATCAGTTGCCCTTCCTTTGTCTACCAGTGCTGTCATTCCATCATAGAAGGCCACCAGAGTAGCTCAGTTGTCCGTTAAAGGAGGATGAAATAGCATTTGCTTCAAGGTTAAGTGACATCATGACTGTCATTGGAGCAAAATCTGTGTCAGGACAGTGTCTGTGGATTAATGATGCAAGAAATATGGTAGAGGTATCAAGACAACATCTATTGTCATTCAGAGATTGGTAATAATTCAATAATTGGTTTGGTTTTCTGTTGTTCTCCTTTTTTTTCCCCATCACAGTATCAAGCTTTGAGTGCTGGGATATTTTTCTTTAGGTGTGCAGTATGTAATAACAAGGATAAATTTCAGAAAGAAATGTTGAGAATGGGCATACACATTCCAGAGAAGTAAGTAACTTTGTAAATAATCAATAATGCTTTATACAAGCTTACTTTGACTAGTAGAAACTTTATTTATTTTTTTGTTGCTGTTCTATACAGTTTGCATCAATGAATATGTGAAACTTCAAATCTGCCTTCCATGGTAGAATTATTTTGGTAGGAAGTAGCACATTTCCTTTTAGTTATGCAGCAAAATTGTCGAAAGTTAGACTAGTTAGACATTGAGCTGGGAGTTCTGGAAAGTCATGTTTAATGTTGTGATTAAACCAGGGACCTATCTAAAAGATCAAAACAATTCTTAAATATGATAATTTGACATTAATGTAGGTAGATAACAAATGTATTTTCTCATCTAAGTTCTTAAATTATCTGAGTTGTTGCCCAAACATTGTTATAGTCCATTGATTACTTAGCCATCCAGCTTTTCCCCAGGGACTGCTAAGGGTACTAAAATTCTGGGCTGTTTTTCATAAGTTTCTACAATTTGCTGGGGCTCAGATAAAGTGATCGTGTTTCATTATTGAAAGAATTATTCTTTAACTACTGGTATCTTTTGAGGCTGCTGCTAATTCTCTCTGGAAACAGGAGCTCCAGATTTTGGAGAGGACGAAGAATCAGAATGTGATGAAGTGTCTCATAATGGCTTGGAAAATACTGACCCATTTTTCTTAACAGTATTTTGAGTAAATTCCCAAAACAAGCACCTGTGTCTGCTGTGACAAAGAGTAATAGGCAACAGAGCAAATACACGCCAAGGTCATGCAAAAATAAAAAAATACTTCAAAGAAACATGACACAGTAACAGTGTATCAGTTTGTATTTTACAATAGTATTTTTGTTATTCCTACTTCAGGGTTTCTCTGAATATTGGAAAATAACAGTGGTATGTTTCTACTGTGAGAATCCAAAGAGGTGATTAAAGAAATTGAACAGAAAAAAAAAAAAAAATTATCAGGTTTTCTGGGCTAGATAGTGATGTGGTAACAGTAATACAAATCAAGTGAACACTTATAGACTTAGAGGCTTTTAGGTAGTTAGTATCTTGACAGCAATTATTTCTATTTCATCCTAGATTTATTTTGCCTCCTCAATTTGCTTAGTTGTTGCCTAAAATGTTATCTAATTGGAACATTTTCATGTGCTTATTACATACACATTTTCCAAAAGATGAAGTAATCCACTTAAATAATCAGAAACAAAGTTGTAGTAACAGGTTCTCTGTCTTGCTTATAGGGATGCATCTTGGGAACTTGAGGACAATGCTTATCAAGACCTACTGCAGTGTTATCAGCACTGTGACATTAGAAGATGTCTCTGCAAGAATGGAAGAGACTATAACAAACCTGATAGGTATGATAGTTTTTGCAGGAAGATAATTAGGGATGGACTTCTAATTTAAAAATTAAAGAAGAAAGCTGTAGTATTTTTCAGCACTGGGTTTTAATTTCAGCTCAATATTTATAAATAAAGTTTACTCCTGGTAATAGCAATATTTAAATACCAGTTTTCTCAAACTTCATCAGCTTATAAAAAACAGTCCTGTCTATTCTCAATTATCCCTGTTCTCATTTCATAAAACAGCTGTAGTGGAATTTGTATATCTGCAAAAATGGAATAGCACATGCCTAAACTAAATGTTAATTCTATCATTCGCAGCTTGATTTACTTAGCTTAATGCCTTTACAAGAAACTTGTTAAAGTACTAACTGGGTGAAAATTAGCCAGCATAAGATCTATGTATAAAATCTATTTCTCAAGTATCAACCAAGCATTTGAATTGAAGTTGCTATTTTACAAATGGGATTTTGAACAGATAAATCTTTCTGCTGATGATTCTGCTTCTCCTTTTACAAAAGGGGGATAGTTCTAACCCACATAGGGCATGTTGCTGTCCCTTTGCATGCAGATGGTTAGAATACTGGTGATAGCTTATGGAAGCTTGAGCAATATTGTAAAAGGTTTGTTTTTGGTTCTACCACTTGCTTAACTTTTGATTAAGTTCATTTTCTGTGGTTCTTTTTAATTGCTTTGCGTGTTTCTGTAAGATACATGTTCTTATTGGGATGGGTATATGCAAATGTCATACAGTGCCTCTGTAAAGACATTTTGTGGCAGGTTTTTCCCTGTAGGTATTTTAAGTTTACTTCGTAAAGATTTGGTCAAGCTTCACTTGGTTCATTCTTGGTACGTGTACATGGTTCATTCTTGGTACATGTACATGTCAGAATTTACGTAGTCTTCAAGAGTTGTACCTTTTGGCCTCCAGTGCTTAAGCTAGTATCAGTCACATAGTTCCATTATAGTATGTTCAAAACATGTAGACAAAATTCTAGCAGTAACTTAAATACTGTCAGTAGTGAAGAGTCTTACAGAATACGTAAAAATAATCAATTACATTACTCAACTGATACAGAACTCAACATTTTGGAAAGATAAACAAGGGGTCCTCATTGAGAATGCTGACTGTCAACAAGAGGATAAAATACTGGCAGCAAGCTATTAACTTTCAAGGTAGGGCTGGGGAGTACACCTGCTCATATGTATTTAATACAGGAAGCTAGAACATGGCTAACTGTTTTTTTTATTTGCACCTGGGAGCTGAGTACATATTGTCTGAAGAAGTTCCCTTTCTAATTTACAGTCTTACCAGATTGCTGAATTATGCCTTGTGAATTCACTGCCTCGATTACATTTACTGTTTAATTTTACTGTTCAGTGTTCCTGGTTTTTACTAGTCTCATTCTTCTGTATAATTCTAAAATAAGTTTTTAATTTTAGTAAGTGGGAAATAAAGCGTTGTCAGTCTTGTGGTTCCCGTGGAACTCACTTGGCCTGTTCATCCATTAAATCATGGGAGCAAAACTGGGACTGTGTGGAATGCAGAAGCATCTTTGCAAAAGGTAATGTTATGAATATGATGGCGACTTGCTAATGGTAATACTTGATATATGTGCACATTTTACAGCTAGAAAATTGATTAACTTCATATATTTCACCATGCAGGGAAATACAGCAAAGGGAAAAAGCATTCTTTGGCTCCCTCAGAAAAGATGGATGGGACAGCTTGTTTGCTGGAAGAGCCATCTCCAAAGCTCCCTCGGCAGTCACCTGGATCTCAACACAACCGTCTTCTCCAGTGTGTAATCTTACAGCAGATAAGAGATTGTAACGTAAAATAGTATTTAAACATAAGGAGGTGATGGCTTATTTTGTAGGAGAGACTTCCTATGCTAATTTGCAAACTGCTCAAGTTTGAACAGAAAGTTTTGTGACTCCAGTTTTGAGTAAGCTGTGAACTCTGTAAATTTGCTATAGTAATTCACGTTGGATGGCATGTAAACCAGTTCTTAGTTTGACTAAATTAGACGTTTGTAAAAGGAATCTTTAAAATTGAGATCACTTTGAATGTACAAATGGCAAAAGTTAAAGCTAAGGTTCTTTACCAGTATATTTCAGTGTTAAGTGTGCTAGAAGTCTAGTTTACTAGACTTTACTAGACATGATTTATAAATCTTGTGTTCTTCTGCAGTAATAAAAGTTTCCAAAGACTGTAGAATCAGGACTTGCATGTCTTATGTAGGATGCAACTAAAAACTGATCTTAAAACCGCCTCATAATAAAATGCTGAATTACTCTTTGTAAAACTGTAATTCAGGCTCTGGTGGACTTCATCTGAATGAGCCAACAAATGATTTTTTGATACTGAAACAGTGGGAAAGTATATTGCTACCTTCAAATAAGAAGTGTTCTTTGGTTGTAGCTCTTAAAGTATCTTTTTGCTTATAGATCACCAAAGATAATGTGCCAGAACCACTTGTCACCCTGCTCACTCCTAGAACTTCCAACATCCAATAGAGTGGCAATGTCCTTATCTCCACTGATGTCAAACAGGAACCGCTCCCTAAGGAAAAAGTACTTTCTTCTTTTCTTGTACATCAAAAAGCAATCTAGCACATGTCTTTATACATATTTTGTGCACAACATGATGTGTGTGCATGTATTTTTATGTATGTATAGTGGCTGTGTATGTGGGTGTATGTTTATCTATAGTCACTGAAAGAATAGAAGACTTAATTTTATAACGCTGTCCACAGTTTTCAAATACTAGGGGAAAGGTAAGGAAGAATCTGTGTATTTTTAAGTAAGATATCAAGGTGATCAAAACTCAAAAATACATATTTGCTCTTAAGGAAAAATGGCAAGCCATTCATGAAAAAGACTAAGGAGTAAAAAGAGTTCTGTTTCCTTCAAATTAAACATCCTGAATTGTCAATGTTCTTGTGTTTATACCATAAAGGGTAGCTTGTCAGTTTGCTAAAATCATAGGTAAGATAACATGTTTTAACAGAATATTCAGTTCAAGGATACAAAATTATTTGTAGCATTAGTATTTATGAATTCTACCTGTATGTGCCACAAGTTCTCATAAAAGAACTAGTTACTTACAGTGCACTTTAAGTAGTTTTGGTAGCAATTTAAAATGTGGCTGCTGCAGTAATTGTTTTAATGGGAGTTGAAACATTTTTTTCCTCCTCCACTCAAATGCATTTTTGATCATAGTGACAAAGATGTATATTAGCTAATAGTTCACAGTATTCTAACTTTAACACAAACATGGTACACTCTTCAATTTCTCACTTGTTCTGCATTGTTCAAACACAGAACAGTGATGTAAGAATTGTTTGACACCTCACTGGTGTAACTGAAATCAGAAAACCAGTTGTGTTATGCCAATGTAATTATTTCTACCTTTTTTTTTTTTCCCCTAGTTCTTAGTCATAGTTTAAAGTAATTTACCACTCCAGAGCTAAAATTTTAAGAATCTACTCCAAATGTTTTACTGGCATAATTTGGTAATACCTAAATGTGCTGAAGTGTTCAGAGTTTTTCTTAAAAAGATTTTATGTTGCTGTTTGTAAAACTTGTTCTTCAGGAATTGTAGATTTATCTGAAAACATATGCAATTTTTTGTAGGCATTTAAGAGTGCAAAGAAAGGAAGCTTCTAATGTACTGAAGGAGTTAAAGCATCAAATTAATACAAAAACTACAAGGCTTAACATCAATACAGAAAATGTCTGGAAGAGTGCTTTAAAAGGATTTAGACAGCGTAACTTCAGACCTACAAACACCATTGAAGTGAAGTTCACAAACTGCAAAAACAGTATAAAAGCAGATTCTTTTACTAGCTCAAAACATCTTTTCTTCCAGCTACTAATGCTTCATATTCAGAATTCATCATTGTTTGAGGGCTCTTCTGCAAAGAACTTGTCGGTTGACCCTCAAGGTAATTAAATGCTTTTTCCAGAATGAAGAGCTGTATCACTTCAAAGGTTTTTTAATGTTCAACCTGTATGATTGTTAGTTCATTATAGCCCTGAAAGGACAGAAGCAATTTTTGTGGGTTTTTTTTTTTTTTTTTTTGCTTCTAAAAGCTGGAGAGGTTGGGATTGTAAATGTTTAAATTCACTACTGTTTTTAAAATAAAAGAATGCTTGGTGAGTGTGAAATGTTAATAACTGTCAGGAGAAAAATATAGCATGTTAATAGACTTCAAAGTTCTTGGGTCTTGTTCTCTATAAGTGAACTTCTTCCTTTCTGATTCACCATTGGTATTACTTATTTTTGTTTCATTGAAATTTCTAGAACACTTATCTCTAAAGATCCAAAGCCATCTTGAGTTCTTGTGCTTCAGAATTAAATGTGTGTTGGATACAAAGTGGAAATGATAGTTAGATCTCCAATCTCAACCCTAGCTGGAGAAGTTGCAGTAAAAGAACTCTGGTACTCTTAAATAAAAATTACCACTTTTACTATTTCAAGCAACAGCAGACGATAAACTTAGTGCTACGTTTCCTGTAGTAAGAGTGAATTAAGTTATTTATTTAAAAAAAAAATCATAAATTATTTTAGATGTAGATGGTAAAGTATATTTGTTTCATTTGCAGCTCTAAAAGAGAACCTGTATTTTGAAGCTGGCAAAATGATTGCAGTTTCTCTAGTTCATGGTGGCCCATCTCCTGGTTTCTTTTCCAAAGTATTGTTTGATTGTCTTGTCTATGGTCCAGAGAATGTGAAGCCAAACTTGGATGATGTTGCTGATGCTGGTGTAGCACAGACAATAAATAAGGTAAATAAAGCTACATTTACTGGAGAATTCCTATGTAAGTCTATATTTGGATACGAAGAGGAGCTTATAAAATACAACTTCAGTTCAAATTTAAATGTTCGTTCTCGCTCCCCTTCCCCTCATAAAAATGTGTGCATGTTACATATAAGCATGAAGTAAACAAATTTGTACTTTTATCTTTGATGCAGATAAAATATTCAGAGACTCTGTCCAGCCTACAGTCAACCATGCATGACTGCCATGACTTCCTTGCTGCTGCTGGATGTTTAAGACCTATAACAGCTTTGCATGATAAGGATATGCTTGTGAATGACTTACTGATACATCATGTAATCAAGAGAATTACTTCACCTTTGGAAAGGTTTGTTTTGTTTGTGAATTTTCAAGCTTCCTTTATTTTTCTTGCTAAAACTAATGTATGTTACTAAAACTAAATTTCACAAGTTTGTGAATATTTTCCATTTAAGTGAATAAAACAGACTAGTTTGTTAGTTTAACTGAAAGACTGAAACAGTTACATCTGTTTAATTTTTGTTGCAAATATTTGATAACCTACATTGTTCTACTAAGTTAGTGTCCTTTTTTTTAATATTATGAAAAGGTTGACAGCTGTAGTGCAAAGGTTTTTACAAGATCTGTAGCCTGTATTCAGTTGTAATTCAGAAATACTCAAATGTAGAGACTTCAAATTTTAGAAGTGCTTAAACATGTTTAGAATTTCAGTATGGTTCATTCTTATTCCAACTGGGGAGTCTGTGTGCCAGTACAGTGGTGATAACATGCACAAGTACAAACTGGCTGGTTTACAGTGTAAACATTGCTTGTATTCATATTCCTATGTGAATTCAGCTAGAAGAAGACACTTGCTACTGTTGACTATTTTTTTTATTTGGCCTCTGGCCTTAAATCTAAATTAATCATCCATTCAGTAAAAAGGCACTGGATGCTAATTCTTGAATAAATACATCGAGATTTGTGGTGTTATCTTTTAACAGATTCTAATCAAGTGAATCTCTGAGACCTATGGGAAAAAAAAAACTTTGAATGTGAGGGTTTGTATTTTTAATAAATTAAACTTAGGGATGGTAAGAGCACAGTTACTTACTGGCTTTCTGATGCTTGTTTGTTTTTCCATTCTCTCCCTCTCTTAGTTTTAGGCAAGGTTTGAAAACTCTTGGTGTGCTAGAGAAAATGGAAATGCATCCGGATGCTTTTTCTAGCTTATTTTGCCACAAACCTGAAAACCTTTCTGCAGAAGCTCTCTGTGATCTCTTTACAATCCATCACTCACCAGATGTAAACGAAATTGGAGGTGCTGATTTTTGGATGGGTTATTTGCAAGATGTGGAAAGTGAGTAACCACTTCCCTCCCCCCCGCCTCCCTCTGGCCTTTATTCCCCATTCCTGGGCATTTAATTGCTGATAAACATAGCGTTTGTTTTGTTTTGTTTTGTTTTTTTAGTTTACTGCAGTAAGACATGGAAAGCTTCCAGTTGACTGTCACTTCCTAATTTTTTCCCCTCACCACCTCTTCCTAACCAATTCTAATTTCTGAAAACATTTGCCACCTATAGTAAAACTTGAGATCAGTTTATAAAAGAAAACTTAACCACCTGGCTCTGCTGCGAACTATCAAAAAGCCAGTAACAACTAAAAAACTCTTCTGTAGTCCTAAGATTTCTCAAACTAATGCAAGCATACTTTGTTTTGGTTTTGTGTTTATGTAGTTGTTTTCTGTTTGGCTGTTTTTTGGTTTTGTTATAGTCTTTCCTCTTTGGCCACAGTATTGAATATACACCCAGCATATTAATCTGAGGTTCTCTGATTTCATTTTTTCCTTTCTAGCACATGGAGGGATATGGCTTAAGAGTAAAAAACAATGACTGATATAATCTAAGTGTTGTCTTGGCTTTTGTTTTTTTAGGTGGTGAGTCTGTAGTGACATTACAGGATATTCTATTCTTCGTAACTGGTTGTTCTTCTATACCGCCTATTGGTTTTGATCCTGAACCTACTATTAAATTTCTGCCTGTACATTATCCCGTTGGAAACAGACTCTTAAATTGCTTAGAACTCCCAATAACAAGGACATATGAGAATTTTAAAAATAAAATGGAACTCACTATCAGAAACACATTAAGAGGCGAGAGAGAATAAATATTTTTGCTACTAAACCAATCATTGGAAACTTCAGCTTTCTGTGGGAGTGTCTGCTGGCAAGATGCCTTCATGTTTTGATGGTATGCTGTCTTTTACCATTTGTCCTCCAAAGATATGCTGAAAGAAGTACTAATCTTGTAAAATGGAAAACTGTTTTCAGATACAAGTCAGTTGGTTTGGGTGTTGTTGTTTTTCAATCATTTCCTTAATTAGAAATTGGTTTTTCCAGCCAGCAGTCTTATTTAGAATGGGTATTTTTGTTCTAGACATACATGGGATGTTACCAAATTCTGGAGCATTTTAGCAATTTCCTAAAAGTAAATGGATTGTATACACACACTTTTCTTTCAGTCAAAGCAGTTGTTTTTTTTTTTTTTTAAAGGTAACTGCTGTAGAGCTTTGTCTTGAGTAAAACTGAGTGCTTCAGTTCTGTGTTACTATTTTCAGTTAACTGCTTTCATGTTGATTCATTTATGCTTTGATTCTTATAAACCTATGGAGGTTAGGCTTTAGGCTGTTGCGTTCAATGCATTAAAATGTGACCATAATTTAGAGAAGATCAAGGCAAAATAATAAGCAGCAAGAAGAAAATGTGGTTGAACTTGAGTTTCTGCTGTTGAACAAAATCTTGGGCATTTGCAACCTTATTGATTCTGCTACTGTATGGTATCTTTTACTGTTGTGACTATACATATTATTAGAAGCTTGAAGTAGGTCTCCAACGTGCAACTATATGTGATCCTTCAAAATGAAATACAAAAAATTTGCTTATTAGAAGAAGATATTGAATTTTCTTCCACGGAAGTCAGTATTTTCAAATGAATATGCACTGAAGTTATTTGAATTGCAGGTAGTCTACCATCAGGCCTGTTAGTAGTGCCTGATGCTTCTCTAGCTTTTATTCTGAACACTTCTTCCTTTTCAATTTTAGATGCATTTTTAGCGACTGTGTAAAAAGTTTTAATTCTGCAGTATTTGTATAAATAACATTAAGCCATAAGCGATTAGTAATGAAATCTGTATGTAGTAACACAATGATGCTAGAGCTATGAATCTGAAAAAAAGTTGAAAAAAAAAAAATTATCTTTAATATATGCAGGCCTCTTCTCAGAATTTCATTTTTCTTTACTGTCAGTTTGGTCATTTAAATTGCATCCCTAGCAAAGGTAAGTCAATAAATGTATATAGATAGATATGTCTGTATTGCAGGATTGCTTTCTTTTCTAATGTCTTGGCCAGAAAGTACACTTACAGTTGATTATAAATTGATAGGTAGTTTAAAAACAACAACGACAGAAAACAACTAAATCCAGTTTCAAGTTCTGGTTCATCACTGTTTTCCTCTCATTAATAAATTCTATTAGTGAACACCAAGTATGTGGCAATGTACTGCAACTGAAGACCTGTGTAAGTGGCAGTTGCTTTCACTAAATATGGTATGACTGTACTGTAGGGTTGAAGACTGGGTGTTTATGTTGTGCAGTTCATTTAACGTTATGTGGGTATTTTTAAACCTTTCTTAAATTGCTACAGCATCTGCATTTCTTTTTTTTTTTTTCTTTTATATTGCCCCATGAAAGTATGCCACTTATTTTTGCATTTCAGTCTATATAAATTATGCCAAAGGTTAGGTCAGGCATTTTTGTTTTTCATTTTTTTCAGCTATTTTAAAAGTAATCATAAAAATGTTTTCATTTTAATTAAGGAATATTATAAATTAAGACAGGACTATTGATGCTTTCCTGGTTCTGAAACATAAATGTTATAAACTCAAACAGAATCTGAAGGAAATGACCTCTTGGAGAATATCATTTAAATCACTTACATTCCATGTTTTTTGATCATTCTTTTTTGATCTTTTTTCTCTAATAGTGTGCCATGCTTATCACTTTTTCTGGATTTCTGAATGCTAAATAGCCACTAAATTCTTACTTGGCTTCAGAATACTCTGTTACCAGCACAAGTAAGGCAATCTGTTGCAAATTGATTTGCTTAATGAGGGCTTGTGTTGGGTTCATTCTTTTTGTTCTTTTAACACAATGAATCCCCTATAGATAGGATATTTTACTTTAAAAATGAGTGTATTCAGTGCAGTATTTTTTTTTCCTTGACTAATTTAGAAATTAACATATTTTGTAATGTTACGGCATTTTTCTGGACTGGAAGTATTGAACTTGTTGCAAGTAGCACGTGGATAATCTTCAAAGTCAGTTGCTAACTGCTGTTGGTACCTGCATTAGGAGGGGAAGCAGTACAAAAAGTGGAACTAAATAAAATAAACTGTTTTAAAACCTTCTGTAGATGAAGAAATAGTAATTTCATGTGAACACCAGGCTTCAAATGCATCCAAGATAAAAAATAGGGCTCCTTTTATAGCTTATCAGTTTTGAGTTCATCAGTTCATACTTTTTTTTTTTTTAATATGTAAAGAACGAACCTATCAGCTGTGAGAGAAATCCTGAGTTACCATATACAATGTTAAGGAAGCATACAATGCCATATCAAAACACAGAATTCTCAAAATAGTCTTTAATATTGCATGCAAACATTTTTCTGATTGGGAACTTTTTCTCATTCTCATTTTCATTTTCTAATACTGGTGTGCTTATCTAAGGTTGTCTTCCCTTCCTTGTAGGTGATTTGCTCTCTCTAGATACTTTAATAAAATCCTAGTTTTATTCAAATTGCATTTCTAATGTATTTCTATTGCAGAGAAGAATTTCCTTTTCTGTTCTTTTTCTGCATGCATCTATAGATGCCAATCTTAAATTTACTTGAAGTTTCTATTAAGATTATGCCATTGAACAAGCTGACTTCAAATTCACAAAAACACAGAAAAGTCTATCTTATTTGAAAACTTCTGGAGCAATTGCTTTTGCTATGATGACCACCGTAATTTAATTGGTAAAGTAGGTCACTGAAGTGCAATACTATTATTTCCTTATTTTACAAAAATGTTAACCTGAGGCACATTGGAAATTAGGAATGTAAGTATTTCTGTAACAGAAGAAGAACAAACATCTATGTATTAGTGGTTTCAGTTTTAAAGAAGTTTCGTCTTGTGTAGGATTTGTCAGGGCTGTAAGTGAACTACTACAGACCTCGTCTTGTGTTTGACTGGCCAAAGAACTTCTCTGTTTCTGTATCAAACTTCCCCTTCCATCCCCCAAAATTCCTTCTGGAATCTGTGCATCAAATAAGCTATTTTCTAGGGTGATCTTTTTTTTTCTAGTAAGCAATGCTAGCTTAGTACTCGTGTTTTTAGTATGGTCTCTTAATAAAGTATATATAATGTCAAAACCACACAAATATTTTAAATATATGAAGACCAAGATGTAGAAACTTAGTGACTCATGCAAAGGATGCTTAATTAAAACAAGCTGTTAGCATTTCAAATTAGTTTGTGAACGAAATATTTTGCAAAATGAGAAGGAATTTATATCAGTTTCTACTTGAAGTCTAAAGCTCAGACTTACTTTCACTAATGTGTTCAGTTCTCAGCTGGAAGATTTCAAAAATTTGGGAGGTAAAACTAAAATGTTGAACAGAGTGTTCGAGTCATTAATTTTAGGAGAATATTTTTTACTGGATAGTGGTGAATCACTGGAACAGGTTGCACAGTGTGTGGATGCTCCATCCCTGGAGGCATTCAAAGCCTTGGGCAACCTGTTCTGGAGAGCGGCAGCCTTGCCTATGGCAGGGGGGTTGGCACTGGATGGTATTTAGAGTCCCTTCCAACCCAAGCCATGGTATGATTCTATTCCATGATTCTATGATAATTCAGTCATATTATGCATATGTGTTTTAAAAATAGCATCAAAAATTTTACAAAAACTTCATTCAGATGAGACTGGAGGCTACAAAATACGCTTTTAGAGTTTATATTGATTCTTACTGTGTAGTAAAGCATTTTACAGCTCAGGTTTTACTTTTTTTTTTTTTTTTTTTTTTACCTAGAGTAATTGTTTAAAAAAGAAAAAAAATTGAAGTATCTTAGTGTGTATGGAAAACTAATCATAATAATATTGTTTGTAAAAAAGAAAACCTAATTTTGTATTGTATGAACTGTCTAAAAGTTATTGTTACTAGAATATTATGCCATTAATTAGTTTTCTAAATACTTAAAACTCCATCTCAGTCAGCTGCAGAATCAGTGCCTGAAGTGTTGCAGCTTCAAGCAGTAAGTGACAGGTGTAGCATCAGTGTTGAAATACACAATTGTGGGAGACGTGTATATGTTTGAAAGTGCAATAAAGGGTTAAATTACCATGTTGTATTAAATGTGACTCTTCGCTTTGCTTTTGTTCTATAGGTTTTAGTTCTAGAAGAGTTATTGCTGTTTTCTTCTAGTTGCATTAGCTTCTGCTACACATGCTGAGTAGGTTGCTCCCAAAGTAATGCCTACTGTTCATTTCTGCGGAGTCTACAAGAGATAAGAAGTGCAATTATCACTCTTCGATACACCAAATTCTCTGCTCCAAACCACTATTTTTCAACATAATCACCACCATCAGCTATGCATTTTTGCTAGTGATGAAAAGCGGCTGCAGTTCTTTCTGCAGGGAGAAATGCAATGACACGCCTTTGTTTCTGCTCTTCCAAGTCAGAAGCCTCTAGTGCCAACAAAATGGACAGGAATAGTGGTGGGAAACTTCAGCTCCTGCCGTGCTCAGCATCATCTCTGACATCGTAGGCTAGTGTACTAAAATAAGAGGCATTGCTTTTGAAGCAGCTCTCGTAGTCGTGCACATTAACCCTCCTATCTTTGTCAAGAGTTTTATCTGCACGGGACTATTCCTCCTCAATGCTTTCTCTAAGCACAGAACAGCTGGGTGGATAGTGCCTACAGAAGACTGCAAAGAGCATGCAAAGGAGAGACGTGCAAACTTAAGTCGTAGAGAAGGTTTAATTGCTGATGAATTCATTTTCGCCAGCTGCTGTCTCTACTTGGCTGCCTAATTGCCTCCCAGCTGCGCGGTTGGAGTTTGTGCACGCACCATGCGGGTAGGGCAAACACAGGTGCGGCCTCTTGCCTGAAATTCGGGCTTAAGGCTGAAAGCATCCCAGTGCAGCTCGCGCTCGCTGGGCGCAGGCCGCGCGGAGCCTCTCGCGAGCCGCCCGGCAACGGCGGGAAAGAAACGGCTCCGCCCCGCCCCTGTGCTGGGCCGCCACGTCGCCGGTCTGCTGCGTGCGCGGCAGTGGGCGGGAAGCTGCGGCCGGGCTGGCGGCGGAGCAAAATGGCGGCCAGCATCCGGGAGAAGCAGACAGGTGAGCGGCTCCCGCGTTTTCTGTCGCTCGGCTCGGCCGCTGTTCTGCCTGCAGTGGGGAAGGAGCGCGGTGGGCCTCAGGGTGTAGCTGGGGGCTCTTCTGGGAGCCTGCTTTCCTCCCCGCCCTTTCCCTGACGGCTCCTTCGGGTGAGATAGAGG